AAATTATTTTATCTTTAACTGTTAATATTAATTCTTTTCATTTCTGCCTTCGGAGAGGTATTAGTGTAGTTTATCTGATGAGCAAATTGCTGAATTTGCCTTTCTGCAGTCTGTGGACACTCTTAACAAAAGTGCATTAATGAGGCAGAGGGCTTTGTTTCCAGAAAGTAGCTAAAAATGATTATTTGTATTGTAGGTTCAGATTTTAAAAGGAGACTCAAAGGTTCCCAAGACTATGTCAGGTTTAAAATGGCATGAATCTGAACAATGAATCATGGAACACTACATCAAAAACTAATGATGTAATGTATGGTGATTAACATAACACAATAATAAAAAAACCCCAAAAAACACAAAACTTACGAATGAATAAAAAAGATGTGGAGCAAAGAAAAAAAAATGGCATGAATCTGGATGGTCACTCAGCGTGTCTTTCCACGAGATTGAAATGCCTACTGTAAGAATAATTATTATTTATATTGAATCATTGGCCTCATCTTGAATGGTCACCCATACACCACACCTGATGATGGTGGCAGGTAGTGGGAACCTCACGGACGAGCAATGGATTTCTCGCGTCATGGCAGTAAGGGGACTGGATGTTCATGGTAGTTCTGAGCACCATCCTGTCCCTGCCAGTGCAATCTCCTGCTGTTCTATCTATGCAGAACGGATGAAGATGTTATCCTGAGGACATGGCAGAAAACCGTTAGCTAGAAAAAGGAGATACCCGATGGAAAGCCAGGCACAGCGGAGGCCAGGTTACCCACCTGGCAGAGGAATACTAACTGAAAGTACAGACATGTCAGTCAATGCCAAGTTGGAGTCTGAGTGTCTTAGCCCAGGTAAGGGCTGGGTGCCTGCCTGGGCCTAAACACAACCAAAGGGGACCTTGGCCATTCAGCAAGGCAGGCATCCTCAGGGCTGCAAGGGAGGCAGGATCCAAGCCCAGTTAGGGCAGGGGCAGGGCACTCTCAGTGCATAGATGTTACTGGACAAGCTATTTCACGTCATTAAAAACTTATTATGAAATGTGTCATGTGATAAAAATACAGAGCTTTAAAGAGGAATAACAAAATGTACAACTGTGTATGCGCCAAACATTAAAAGAGCCTTAACACCGGGCGCCTGGGTGGCTCAGTTGGTTAAGCGACTGCCTTCGGCTCAGGTCATGATCCTGGAGTCCCTGGATCGAGTCCCGCATCGGGCTCCCT